TGAGCTGCCTTTCCTCATACACTGATCAAAAATATAAATGCAACACTTTTGTTTTTGCTCCCATTTTTTGTGAGCTGAACTTAAAGTTCTGAAACGTTTTCTAGATACACAAAGGACCCATTACTATCAAATATTGTTCACGAATCTGTCAAAATCTGTGTTAGTGAGAACTTCTCGTTTGCTGAGATAATCCATCCCACCTTACAGGTGTGGCATGTCAAGGTGCTGATTAGACACCATGAATATCGCACGGGTGTGCCTTAGACTGCCCACAATAAAAGGCTCTGAAATATGCAGTAATGCTGATGCCACTATTAAAAAAGTAGTGGCATCAGCATGAGATTCAAAACACAGTTTATGGTCAAGTACCACACCTAGATATTTGTAACTCTCCACAATCCCAATATCAGCAGCTTCAATGATAGTAGGTGATGAGCTATAAGAGGGCTTCCTAAAATCAATAATCATGTCTTTAGTTTTTGACACATTTAGTGAAAGGATTGTGACCTATTGGTCAGAAAGTCTGTCGCCAGCCAATCAGACTAATGCAGGGGTCATCAACCTTTAAGACCGAAAGAGCCGTTTTGGTCTGAGCGACCCAGGGACCCTGAGCAGTTTTGGACTAATATTATAATATATGTATTTTGTATTGCTGTCCCTCGTTCTCCCTGCATATGTGTCTGTGTGTGTGGGTGTGGCCCTGGCAGGTGATTGGCCACACCTGAAGACCATGTCACACCTGCAGCTGATCAGGCCTCGTCGGAGGAGCTACTTGAGAGTGTGGTGGAGCTCTCTCCGACGCTGGATCATTGCATGACTTCACGTCAGTCTCTCGGCCAGTCAGTACGATTGTTCTTCAGCATTGTGTGTCTTATGGCTGCCTGTTTGTTATCTCCCCCAGGAGAAACGGGGAGACGAGAGGACAGCGAGCACGGGGTGCTCAGACACCAAGGAGCGGGGAGAAGGGACACGTCACGGGAGTCGGGATTGCGCAGAGGTTTTACTGTTATTTTCCTTACCACTGTAAATAAACACACTGCTTAGCACACAGAGCTCCGCGCCTGGGTCCTCCTTTTCCTTACACCCCCACGGTTTGCCATGCCAAACCGTGACACTGGTGACAGTGGCAGAGAAAAGGACACTAAAAAAAACTGCTGGACATTATGGACAATGCTGGGCATCCTCTGCACATGGACATAAACAACCAGAAGAGTCTTTTCAGTGATAGGTTGCTTCTCCCAAAGACAAGAACTAACAGACTTAAAAACTCCTTTGTCCCACACACCATCAAAGTGTTTAACTCCTCTCTGGAGGGGAGAGGGAGGGGAGACAGGAGGACAAAGGAGGGGGGAACAACTAAGCTGTAGTGCTACTGTGCAATACTTTTTGTTAATAACCAATGGTGCAATAGACTCACAATACTTGAAATGTGCAATTTCCTTGTATTCTTATTCCTATTTATTCTATTTATCCCTTTTGCATACTCTGTATTTATATATGTCTCTATATTTATATATGTGTATATATGGTTTATTTCTGCTAACATTCTGTATATTCTGTCGGTGCTGTGCTATTGTAAATCTAATCTAATCCAATCTAACAGAATAAATCATACAACACTGTATCCTGAAATTCATATTACAAGGAATCCCACCAACTGGGATTCACAATCCACTCCTCTGGTAGACGACTCTGCTCAAATCTTACAATTCAGTAGGGTTAGGGATGATTCCCCTGGCCACATGAGTTCTCCTATTGCACCACAAACAGTGAACAGATGACCAGGTCCACTCAGGGTCCACAGTTGATAGATGTAAGCCCCTACATACTGTCGTCCCCTCCTCACACTTCTCTTTTTCCTCCCTCAACCTCCCATCCTGTGTTGGAGCAGAGACAGGGGGAGGAGGAGAGACCTGGGAGGGTAAAAGCTATGCCTCCAACTTCCCAGATGGATGAAGATCTTGTCCAGTCCAGAGTAAATAGGAGAAAACCTAGAGTAAATAAAAGTGAGGGACTATTTAGGACTGTATACAGAAAGGGCAACAAACTGGGACCAAGAGCCACTCATTTCATCAGATTAAAAGGTATCCATTCTATCGTGTCAGTTTTTCAGGACAGCCAGAGACAGAGAACGAGAGGCAGAGACAAAAAGTTAGAGAAGAACAGCAAACGGTATTACTGCGAAAGCACTAGCTGGTAGTCGGCCATTCGCGTGTCCTTGTGCAGTTGAACAAAGTCCTCTTGTAGTTGAAAACAAACAGGCAAACATTTATTTCCACAGTCTTGAAATGCAGTAATCCGTTTGAATGTTCCTGTACACTACAAAACACGGTAACAAAACTGTTTGACTCCACAGCTAGTTAAAGCCCCGTTATTCCACACTGCCGATCGCAAACGCTCCCCCCGTGCACAGTTACCATGTATTAAAGGAACAGTACGTAATAATTAAATAAGGAAAGAAAATACAATTTAACTGTAAATATTAGGCTAAAGAAAATTATAAAGAAAAACTGAAATTCCCCATTATCTTACACTTATCCTTATCCCAAATGATTCAAATTAATTAATTCAAATATACACTCTGCAATCTGAGTAAACTAAGAGATGATTAGACCTTTATGTTATACAAACGGGACACAGGTGTCGCCTCAACTATCACAAAGCTTGAAAGGAGAGAAAAATTGCAGATTGGTTTGTTCCCATGAAATTCCCAATCTGGTTCTCAGGAGACGCCAATTTAAATCGTATACCAGCTTATAATAATGAAAATATTCAAATTGATAGTTACCCAGGGGCCTCTTTTTACCACTTTCTTCGGATATTGGAGAAGACTCCAGCCCACCCACTCACCAAATTAGTGATACTGTCGGTAAGGATCAATAATAGAGATCAGGATGCAGAAAAGAGTTGCATTAAACAACTAAGAATGCTATATAAAAAAAGCTTCCCCAATGCTGACGTATTCTTCCCGGTAATTAATTTTTCATCTTCCCTTCCAAGGGAATAACAACACAACTTGACACTTATCAATAACTTTGCTGCGGATCGCTTTTTGGTCCTGAACCCGCTACCCGGGGACCAATTTCAAACAATCTGAGATACATTCATTGGACACAGGATACAGCACAACATATACTCTCAAACTGGTGCAAACAGTTACAATTAAATTGAAACCATTTTCAAAACCACAGAGTTATAGCAGGCAACAGAAAGAATAAAAACTTGTAAGACATGTTAATTAAAGCGTAGCACACTGTGAGCAGTGAGAGAAAGAGAGGTATAAATCATCTGTCTCTAAAACAAATACAGAAACAGAAACGGGCCATACCCTCTCAGACAGGCAGTGTGCAAAGGATATCAGGTACATCAGATGAATGTGGTGGATGAAGCACTGAGAACGGGAATTTATCCATGGGGTATGAGACGACAGGTCATTAGGCTCTCCGGGCTTCATTAAACCAGTGGCACCAACAGAAAGGTAAAAAAAAGTGCAACTGGCGCTAAATATAGACTCCTGGATTGCGAACAATTTGAACTTTTTACATGACCACTATGAAACTGTTATTGAGGTTTTGAACAACAAACCGGGGGCTGTGCCAAGGTGCGGGGCGAGTTAGGTGCGTGGAAGTACAGGCTTGGAAGAGCAGAAAATTGCAGGATTGGAAAATTCAGGCTAACAAGCCAATAGTAATTTGGGGCGACTCGAATTTTAACAGAGTAATGCCCTTTACAATAAGAACATCCATATAGACAGCTACCCAGGAGCAAACTTTCATAACTTCTTTAAGCTCCTGGAGAGGACGTTGACCTGTGAGGAGACTGTTTTGGTAGTGATCTCGATAGGTTTGAACAACAAACATCAAGACTCATATAAAACTTCAATTAAACAGTTGCGCATGGTAGTCCGGGATGCACGGTCCATGTTTCCTAACGCAAAGGGCAAAGATTCACTTCTCGGACTCGCTCACTGAAGCAAAATCTCGCAATAATAACGTCAGGCAGCCATTTTAATTACTTACCCTGTATTCCTCCACATCAGTTTCATACTATGACGGATGGAATACACTGGACAGCTCAAGGCACGAATAATCAGAGCTCCCAGAAAAAAATCCCAGTCTTGGGGACATTCTCGTGAGAGCTAAACTGAAGGGGAGGGTTAAATCGGCTCCAAAAAGCTGGCGTGTCATTTGGTTCATAGATGCATGGTGTCTTATCCATACAGTAGAGCGATGTGGCCGACTGCAGGGAAACCCTCACTTCACTCAAAGAATCTGGTTTATGCCATTCAGTGTGGTGTGTGTGTGGCCTCATGTACATGGGGGAGAACGGGGCTCGCTTGCATAATCGTCTTCAGCAACATCCAGTCACATGGACCGTGCACCATACTAGCTACTCATTTTCGTGAGCACACGGAAGGGTCTCTGGCCATCATGGGTCTACAGACCAACCAAGCATGGTCTGGCGGTTGGCGAGGGAGAATGGAGAGAATATGGATGGACCTTAATGTCCCGAATTAAAACGAGAGTCTGGCATCCTTCTGTCCGGATAAATGAGCAATAAATGTTATGTGTATGGTTGTTTGATGGTTTTTGTTTGAAGAAACCTTGTTTTTCTTTTTTTAAATAGGTGGTTGTAGGAAAGTGGAGGGAGAGATAGAAATAGAGGCCTTTTTTTTTTTTTTTTACACCGAATGTCAACGTACTGAGAGTTAGTGGTGACAAGATCTGATAAAAGTGGCGGCAGGAACAGCTGAGCAGCTAAACAGGAGAATGAAGGCAGGCCTAGGATGTCCAGCCGGCCCTTAGGGCCATGCACTAAAGCTCCAATTGGAAGAAAACTAAGTCAAACTGTTTCTACAGTGGGGCAAAAAAGTATTTAGTCAGCCACCGATTGTGCAAGTTCCCCCACTTAAAATGATGACAGAGGTCAGTAATTTGCACCAGAGGTACACTTCAACTGTGAGAGACAGAATGTGAAAAAAAATCCATGAATCCACATGGTAGGATTTGTAAAGAATTTATTTATTCGTGCATTTTCATCGTATTTTGCTTCTTCTTCTCTCTGCCTAAATCAAGCCACCTGTCTGTCCTACCGTCGGTCACACTGTTGTTGATGGGGTGCTGTCAACCTTGATGCAGCAGAACAAAGATGCCACCAGCTTGTCAGTGAACCAGTCACACATGAAAAAGAAAAGAATCAAGTCCACAAAAGGACTGAACAGAAATAAGGCCACAATAACATCTAAGGAATGTGACCCTTCCATGTCAGCTCTGTAGTGTAAAATCAAAACGATCATTGGCAAGATCATCACGAAGTAGTTAAGGAACAGTAGAACTACTGCTCCCACAATTCTTCGTTTTTCCTTAACAGGCACTGGCGTGGCAGCAGGCAGACATTTGAGGGTCCCTGCTAAGCAGAGGATGTACAGTGGAGCAAGGAGTACGGCCAGAATACAAACAATAAATTGTTTTTCTGCAGCAACGGAGATGGTAATAATGCAAATGACCCAGATCACAGCGCAAGCCAGCACAGAAATCGTAGTTTGTCTGATGCTGTCCAACTGTCTGAAGACGATGATAAAAGATCTGCAACACAATACAAAGAGATAATATCATTATTAGAGTACAGAAGTTCATATATCTGGCCATAAGGATGTTTCACTGAATAATAGAATGGAAGTACAAAGAAAGACACGTACCCTTCTAGAGAAATGCATATTTTGAAGCCAAGATTAGCCATCATACTGAAGGCATAACAAGAAACGGAGGAGGAGTTGTACTGAAGCTGGTCTGAGTTTGCCACCAAAGCGATCATTGTGAACAGCTGGAGGAGAGTGGTGATGAGGAGGTTTGTGTAGTAGATGACAGGAACCTGCCCGCGTTTTATCTGCAGGAAGTATGAAAGTCACATTAAAGCAGTAATAAGCATGACACGTCGTCTCAAGATCTCTACAAGAAATCATGAAGTGATGATGTGCTCGGTTCAGTTCAGTCTCTCTACAGTTACAGTGTTCACTTTCAGGGAAATACATGAGTATGTGTAGGACACACAAACTGCTTTGGGATTGCATCAGGACGGTTAACTGGTGTGATCGGGCAAATCAAAGCTGCAGTGCTATCCTGCTTTGGTGACCACTTGTGAATAAGGAGAAGCTAAAAGTGATTTTATTTCGGTTACCTGCAGACTGCAACAAGAAATTACATTTTATAAGTTGCTAAACACTAAAAACAGAGAGGTGCAGGACTGTGCAAAACGTTTAAGCCACACATGATATATTTGGTTTCCAAGGAACCAGACTTTGACAATTTTTTTACAGGCTCTGCCTCCCATTTGACTTTTAAATGGCCGCCCACAAGAAAGCCTGCAGGCTGAGAGCAGATGTTAAACAAATATGCAGGACTGCTTTATTTCATTTGCGCAACATCTCTAAAATTAGAAATATCCTGTTGGCTTCCTGTTAAATCCAGAATTCAAAATCCTGCTCCTCACATACAAGGTCTTAAATAATCAGGCCCCATCTTATCTTAATGACCTTGTAGTACCATATCACCCTATTAGAGCACTTCGCTCTCGCTCTGCAGGCCTACTTGTTGTTCCTAGAGTATTTAAAGTAGAATGGGAGGCAGAGCCTTCAGTTTTCAGGCCCCTCTTCTGTGGAACCAGCTTCCAGTTTGGATTCAGGAGACAGACACTATCTCTACTTTCAAGATTAGGCTTCAAACTTTCCTTTTTGCTAAAGCATATAGTTAGGGCTGGACCAGGTGACCCTGAATCCTCCCTTAGTTAGGTGTAAGCTGCTGGGGGATTCCCATGATCAATTTCACCTTACAAATTCAAAGTGCTTTGAGGTGACTGCTATTGTGATTTCGGCTCTCTCTCACACACACACACACACACACACACACACACACACACACACACACACACACACACACACACACACACACACACACACACACACACGTTTTATGCCTAAAAGCTGCATGGTGTGATCGACGAACTAACTGCATTTCTATAGGCTGTCAAGCAAACGGACAGACGACAAACAGACAGTAATGTTATTTTTTACTTACAGCACGACATGAAAACACGAGGAGAAGAATAGCCACAGGAAGGCAGACACATGTGCCAACTAGGAACATCACATGAGCATGAGATGCCATCTCTGAGTGACTGTCTTCACGGTGGAGGTAATGCAGAGGTAAAGTCCACGCTTTTCTTCAGCAAGCAACCTTCAGTGTGGAATAGCCGATCTTTGCTTCTTCAAAAGAGAAAAAGACGCTGAACTGAACAGTTTGTCTTAAATTGTTTTTCATAAAATGATGCTACCACATGCCAAGAGCTTTACCTTTTTCTGTTTGACTATTTCCTGCCAAAGTTTTTTATGTTTCACAGAAAACCACAGAAAGATCTCTTCTCACACCTCCCACATGCATGTTATTATTCTTCTTATTGGGGGCCCATTGGAAGAGAGTTTCCTTACAACTATTCTACTTTCGCTGAACATAATATGCTAATAATATATATGTTTTTTCCTTATGTATTTTCTTCCTGTTTTTTAAAGAAGAGAAATTGTGGTTTTCTTTAGTGTCCCCTCTGTGTAAATGCACACAGAGTGTGGTTAGTAAGTGCTTCAGTGGAAGGAAGTCAGTGTAAACTGGAAATATTAGTCATTCATCTGGTGAAAAACAGCCCGTACACCCTTTGGCAGATTATGGCCATTTTCTAATGTATGCATTATTCAGTGAGGTCATTTATCACGATATACATTTGAAAATTTGCGATAACGATATAACTGACGATATAATTGGCATTAGACAAAATACTTTACAACTCCACAACTTTATTGTGCAAAAAAAAAAAAACATCACTGTATTTTCACTTAAACAAGCAGCTGTTTTTATGTGCATTAAAGTTATATAGGTTATATAGTTATATAGGACAAACAGATTCTTTCCCAGAGCTATCACCGTAGTAAATAAGCACAAAAACAATTGAACCTGCTTAGCTATACCATACCGTCACTGCCATTATATTATGCTGCTATTCATACTGTCATTATATTAATGCTGCTATCGTACTTACTATTGTTTGAGTACTTACGATTGTTTTATTGTACTTTTTATATTTTACATTTATATTTATTATTGAATCTTGCACCAAGGGAGTGGCACTCCAATTTGGTTGTACTCTGTACAATGACAATAAAGGCTATTCTATTCTATATAAAAATTTAACAGTGCAAATACAAATTCTTTGCTGACAGTTTAACCAAAAGGCATTTCCAGTGGAAATTGGCCGACATATCCTCAGCATAACCATGTAGAGCAGGGGTGTCAAACTCAAATACACAGTGGGCCAAAATTCAAAACCAGAACAAGGTCGCGGGCTAACATTAATATTTATTGAAAAATATTTATTCCTCCAGATATAAGAATGAATCTCTTCTTATGGACTCAAACAAGTTTTGCTGAAAAACTGAATATGGAACAAGCAAAGCTTAATACTAAACAATATATATATTAGCTGTATAATACCAGTAGGCCAGCTCTAATAGTAATTTGGTATGGCTTCGCGGGCCAAATGTAATTAGGCCCTCTAGATCAGAGTTTGACACCTATGATCTAGATATCCACAAACTTAAAAAGAGGTTATACACACACAATACGGTAATATTATGTTGAAGCACAGTACGTATCACTCCGCGAGGCTCCTGCCTACGATAGCCGTAATGCTCCGACAATCCATCAAGCGGTGCGGCTTCGTAGCTTAGCAAAGTCGTACTAAAACATTTGACAGATTTTCGAGCGCCGTGCACATAAAATCGTTTCGAGGTCAGTAAACACAACCAGAGTTCATACATAAGGCACACGGGATTATAAGGGGCTCTGTCGACTTTCAGAAAAATCAAAGGATTGATTTTAAGTGCGCCGTATTTTCCAAACAACACGGTAATAACGACGGCCCGCTAGCATGCGCTACCAAAAATAGTGCTTTGTTGTGTATCTGACGGACGAAAGCTAAACCAGTTCCACACCAGTGAAGCTGCAGCATTTTTACAAACCAGTTCTGGTTCATCGTTTCATTCAACGATCCGCTTTCGCTCTTCTCATTCTGCGTCGCCATGCTTTTTCCGCCATGTGCGTATGAAAACAAAGGCACTGCGCATGCGCGTTTTACCCATATTCTATCGCCATATTTCATTTTCTTATCGTTGCCCAACATTATACCAGTTTTACCGTGAACGGTATGATATGGCCCAGCCCAAGCTGGCATGAGGGCTCTATTTGTGTTTTGTGGAAGGATTGAGGTGTGTAATTAGTCCTAAACAGATTCAGCTGATGTGTATCCGGGACACTGTGCTGTCTGTGATTGGTGAATGGAGGGAAACTTCACTAACGTAAATATAAGAAATTAAAATTCTGCTTTTCACTTTTTGTGCTTTTGATTTCCTTCCACTCCCCAGCTGCCCGTGTTGCGTCCTCTATTTAAATTATTCAAACTGTGGTCAAAGTGAGCCACCAGACAGCAACATTAGCCAGAGTAGCAGTCATAGGGTTAGCCTGTGTCAGTTAATGAGATCATGTGTTTCAGCTTGGGGGACACTAACCACAACACTGGTCGTGTCCAAATTCATGGGCTGCATCCTCCTGAGGCCGCATTTGTAGACCGATTACGTCACAGCAGACGCGTACGAAGGCCGTGTCCATTCAAGCTGCTCCTCAGAAATGCGGCCACAAATGCGTCTCCTTTTCTTCCCTGAATTTAAGATGTCGGGGTATCTTCTGGCCCAACAAATCCCAGAATGCATAGCGCGGCCAGAATTCCAGTTTCCAACAATGGCGGCAGCTAGTTGTTTTAATATTACTCTTATTATCTTTCTGGGTCACAAAATAAACTTTAACATATTTCAGGCAGAAAGTAGCTAAACTAGGGCTGAACGATTATGGAAAATAATCTAATTGCGATTTTTTGCCCCAATATTGCGATTGCGATGCGATATGCGATTATTTTTTAAGGTCTTTGTCTTCTGTATTATTAAACAAAGACAAGCAATACATCATATAGTATGGCCAATACTATATTACATTAATTTTAAACTGTTCTTTCCTGGAAGACAGACCTCTGTTATGATGACATGAGGTGATGCATGAATTGATGACTGACATTTTTATTTAACTTCTTCAATCACAACAGTATATTTGAACATACACAATAGTTTATTTTTAGCTTACAAACATCTGAGCATAAAGTGCTGACAAGGAACCCTGGTGTAAACATTAAAATGAAAGTCAGTACAATGTGCAGATTGCAGAAATATACATAAAAAAAATCAGTGGCTTTACCACACTCAGTTTTTCGACATCTGTGAACTACTAGACAGTCATTCAATTAAAAAATAATATTAAATAAATAAAACTAATAAATAAAAAATACACACATCTTACTGATCTCTGCAGTCAGTAACATTACACATAAAGTGCAAACATAATAGCAATTGTATAAACACACACACAAACACGCCTTTAAAATTTAAAGGCGTGAAATTCGGCCGTCTGCTTCTGAAAAATATAACCAGACACTGGTGTAAATTCTCGACTGTCTCATACTTCTGTTTAATCAGTTTTCTGTTTGACGTTTAGTCAGCTGTGTGAAAACCAAGGAGGAACCCACCCGGGGGATTAATAAAGTTTTATTTTATCTAATCTAATAACTTTAATCTCAGCCAAACCGATTTACTCACGAACAAACAAAACACTGAAAAAAGCCCAACAATAACATTTTTAGGTTGTCGAAGTGACTTATATATTACGTTTAACCCGAGCAGCGAAACTCCGCGGTGATCAGAAAATGATGTGCCGGGCGTTGTGCCGTTCTCGGCCGCATCAGTAACCCTCGAGGTCTCGGCTAGCTGTCGAGCTGGTGGGTAGCAGACGTCTCCGAAAACGTCGAAGCACTTTTGCAAATATGCGATATCTTGATAAACCGAGCAGATATTTGATGTTTACACAGCTACTTTCTCGCCTGAAAATATGTTAAAAGTTTATTTTGTGACCCAGAAAGATTAATAGTAATTTTAAAACTTAGTAGCGGCCACCATTGTTGGAAATTGGAATTGGCTGGGCCGCGCTATGAATTCTGGGATATGGTAGCCACGAAGGACACACCCGCATCCTTCTAATTACTCTTACTAATCTTTCTGGGTCACAAAATAAACTTTTAACATTCAGCGAGAAAGTAGCTGTAAACATCAAATATCTGCTCGGTTTATCAAGATATCCCATATTTGCAAAAGTGCTTCGACGTTTTCAGAGGCGTCTGCTACCCACCAGCTCGACAGCTAGCCGGGAGCTCGAGGGTTACTGATGCGGCCGAGAACGGCACAACTCCCGGCACATCATTTTCAGATCACCGCGGAGTTTCGCTGCTCGGGTTAAACGTAATATATAATTCACTTAGACAACCTAAAAATGTTATTGTTGGGCTTTTTTCAGTGTTTTGTTTGTTCGTGAGTAAATCGGTTTGGCTGAGATTAGTTATTAGATTAGATTAGATAAAATAAAACTTTATTAATCCCCCGGGTGGGTTCCTCCTTGGTTTTTACACAGCTGACTAAACGTCAAACAGAAAACTGATTAAACAGAAGCCAGTGTCCTGTTATATTTTAGATACAAGAGCAGGGTTTACGGCTTATTACTCTTAGACAGCTACGTTGCTATGACGTCCAATTTCTACAGGCGGTGTTTTACTTCCGGCCTACCCGACTTTGAGACCTTAGACCGCGAAGGCCGGGTCCTCAGGAGGATGCAGCCCATGAATTTGGACACGACCTCTGATGTTTTATTTAGCTTCTTTTAACTGCAAATGACACGCTGCTGTTTTTCAGTGCAGGATGTCAAAACAAAAAAAACTTAAAAGTTTTTCTCTATTTGTGTGTCGGGTTTTTTGCCACAAAGCAGCCAGTGTAGGAAACAGAAGCACTAAAACAACATCAAATGAGTCATTTCCTAATGCGGCTAATCTTTTTCTTTGGCTGATTAAAATGGAGTTGTTGTTGACCTGCTGTTGGTCATCAGTTCATTTGAGCAGCACTTAATCTTCTCTCAGTATATTACCAAAAATATTAGCTTGTCTGCCTTCACATGCATATGAACTTGAGTGGCATCTCATTTTTAATCCATAGGGTTTGTTATGATGTCTGCCGCCCTGTTGCTTATATAAAAGACTCTCCACAAGGTTTAGGAGTGTGTTTAATCTTCC